TACAGTCGAAAAACAATTTCGGCGAAGACTTTTGACCGCTACTGTATATCGCGAGATATCAGCAAAGCATGCTGGCAGCGACTTACCTACGCAACCTCTATCAAGTCCACGTCACTTCCGGTGACACGCCTACCCCAACTTACGGATCTCGACTGTATAAACCGCATTCTTTTCGATGTTCATAAGCGATTGCAACTAATCTAGTTTTTTTTTTCTAGAAGTCTCAATTTTCTGCACTTGAAGAATCGTCACTATACAGCTATTGCTACCCCAATATCTTGAAATTTTAGTTTCTTAGAAATTTGCACATAGGGGTCATTCGATGCCCTGTGCGAAATGACATTTAATTTTCAACGGGGCACTATCTGGGGTCACCTTCACACGACACATTTTCACCAAATTCGCCGTAAACCTCGATAGGGTTATTTGGCGTTCTGATTGGCCGATGTCAGACTTTGCGATTGGAGCGATTGTGCACCAATTGCAGGAGCGACGGGAGATTTACGAGCTGGTGGCGCCGAATTATCGGTGGTCGGCCGTGTAAATCTCCCGTCGCTCTGCAATTGGTGCACAATCGCTCCAATCGCAAAGTCTGACATCGGCCATTAGGATAAGACGCGACTTTTTCTTGCAGTCCAATTTGGCGCCTACACTCTGCAGTCAGCTTTATCTCCAGGCACTAAGTGTGGTAAAGGAGAGCGGGAAATAATGCTTGATGCTATACGAAGTTATACGTCTTCTTCTTCTTCTTCTCCCTAGCGTTAGTCCCGCGCAGTCGCAGGGTCCGCTGTCTTTATCAGTCGTCGCCACTTCGCTCTGTCTAGGGCATCTCTCTGCTGTGGCCGTGATTTCACTTAGGTCCTTCTTGATCACGTCCTTCCACCTCTTCTTTGGGGCTCCTCGCGGTCGCTTGCCTTGCACTTCGAAGTCCATCGCATTCCTTATCGGGTGGCCTTGGTCTTCTTAGCACATGCCCATACCACCGCAGTCGCTGCTCCCTCACCTTCAGCTGGACAGGGGCAGTCTGCATGACCGCTCTGACATCCTCGTTCCTGACCCTGTCCAGTCGCGTCCAGCCGCAGGCCCATCTCAGCATCCTCATTCGGCGGAGTGAAGCTGCCTTTCGTGATTCTTGTTCAGGGGCCAGCACTCGCTGCCGTAGAGCATCGCAGGCCTTACCACTGTTCGGTACACCTTCCCTTTGAGCGTTCTGGAGCACCTTCGGTCGCAGAGGATTCCAGTGGACTCCCTCCATTTCATCCATGCCGCGTTGATCCTCCCCTTTACTGCCTGGTCCACACTGCCGTCGGCCGCCAGATCACTCCCAAGGTATCGGAAAGTCCTCCACTCTTTCGATGCTTTCGCCATGTCCATCCACGATCGGCTCTGCACTCTCTTCGGAGCTCAGGAACTTGGTCTTCTTGACATTCAGCCGGAGCCCCCTTCTGCCAGGACCTTCTGCCACTTCTGCACCTTGGCCTGTAGTTCTTCTCTGCTATCAGCTATCAGGGCGATGTCGTCAGCGTAGAGGATGGTCTTTAGTGGTCCTTCTATGAGCCCCTTCACCATGACATCTAGTGTTAGGAGGAAGAGGAACGGACTCAGAGCTGACCCTTGATGCACCCCAACCGTGATGTTTACCTCTTTTGTTAGGCCATGTGGGGTGCGTATGGCTGCCTTAGCCCCGTCGTACATGTCCTTCACCAGCGAGACCAGGTGTTCTGGCACGTTCCGTTCTCTAAGCGCTCTCCACAGTACCGCTCGTGGTAGCCGGTCGAACGCCTTCTCCAGGTCGAGGAAGGCTAGGTAGCAGGGTCGGCGCTTTTCTCGATACTTCTCCATCACTTGCCTTGCGATGAAGATGGCATCCGTGTAGACCTTTCGGGCATGAACCCGAACTGTTCCTGGGAGATGGGGACCAGCTCCCGCAGTTCGAGTCGACCAGTCGCTCGTACAGCTTCATTGTATGAGCAGTCAACTTGATCCCGCGGTAGTTGGAGCAGTCCATCGCGTCACCCTTCTGCTTGAAGATGGGGACGATAGTACTTGTTCTCCAGGCATCTGGCATCCTTCCTTCCGCAGTTTATGTTGTTGAGGAATCGTGTGAGCCATCTTATCCCGTACTCACCGAGCGCCTTCCATGCCTCGATTGGCACCCCATCTGGGCCAACCGCCTTCCCAATCTTCATCCTCCCAAGTGCACACCTAACCTCATCCTCAGTCCAGAGTGCGATGGGACCAGCTGTGGCCTCTGCCCGTGAGTTGTTCTCGTGGGGGAACTCCTCGTTCAGAAGTGCACTGTAGTACTCTTCCCACCTCCTCTTGACTTCGGCTGGCTTCCTTAGGATGACACATCTCTGCCTTTCACACTTTTCACCACCCTGATGTCTTGGGTAGCACGATGGGCCTTAGCCAGCCTGAAGACGAACTTCTCTGCGTTTCTGCTTTCCAACTTCTCGTACAAGGCGTCCATTTTTCTGTGTTCTTTGCCCTTGCTATAACAAATGTCATATTCGTAATCGATATACAAATAATCCACAGAAGACAAATAATCTAAGAAGTTACACTGAGTTTAGTGGAAACAAATGCGTGGCAAGGTGGCGCCAACAAAAATGAATGTCATTTTCGTAATCAGGGCACCGAATTACCCCTATGGGCGAAGTTTCGACGAAAAATCACTTTTGAGATTTTGGGGCTGTTACAGTTGAATAGTTCCGAAGAAATCATTCACTTTGATCCTAAACAATTCATTGGCTTTTACTCGAGAACTTTTTAATGAAGAGGCGTTCCTGCCTCCCTGTTTCCTTTCTATTGCACAGAATGCAATAGAAAGGAAACAGGGAGACAGGAAATGCACAAATTCCAGTTCATTGAGCAGCAGTAGTTGAGTTTCTGCACTTCAAATTTCTTAGCTAAAGAGGAGCTTTGGACCATTCTACCCTAGCACTGCTGTACAGTTACTATGTGAGCTTTTGGAATATAAGCTGGGTCTCTAGTGGTGGGGGATGGGGGGTAGCGGGCCAATCACTGAGTGGCACAGCACCCTCAGTGCCCTTAATGTTTCAATTTGTGAGGGGAAGAGGTTACCGCGGTAAATGCCAAAGCGAAAACGAAGTGGTTCACGCTTGCCGGGGATTCTCTCCTACAAGAACTAGAAATGCTGTAAGCGACGCGGAACATTTGAACCACTTGACAACTCCCTCTCCCCTATTGGAGTACTCATAATGTAGTTGCTCTAATTTTGTCGACCTTTTCCAAACAGGTTTAGTTTTGTTTTCTTCGAATATTCCAGTATTCGTATATGAATAATAATGGGCGCTAACGCAACATACGGGGCATCCTCTAGCACAATGCCTGGGCGGATAGGAGCTGCGGGGAAATGAAAATCGCTTACGCACCCTGAAGTCTCTCTCCACTGCCTGAGGCTTAGTCCTGTTTTTACTAATTAATTAATGTTTCACGTACATTGCCAATACAAGCCCCCGTATTGCAAGAGCGCCTAATAATATATTTGTTCCAGTGCTTAAACTAACTAATTAGTTTTTATTCTCTAATAGTACCACACTGTTACCTGTAAAGCAGTGTGCATGCCTTGTGCCGCCGTGAAATGTGTGAGAAGCGCGGGACGCGCTGCCAACGCCACGTACGTACGGCTTAGTTTGGCCTCGCTTTCACTGTGGAAATTCCAAGCATTCCGCGTTTTTCACATGTTCTGTGCCTTCATGATTGCTACAGAGAACTAGTTTTTTTTTACTTATCGTTTTAAATAGTTGGAAGCCAGTTGCGTTTTCCGTGGAGTAGATAGCGTCGCCCACACATGAAATCGTGCGATCGCGCGATTGCAGAATCACACGGTCGATAAGTAAGTATCTACTCCACACTCGAAATGCAGATTTAACTGCAGGAACCACTCAGAAGGGTACTTCCATTTGGGATAAGTACTAAAACTAGAAGAAATGGAATGTCTTAAAAAACCAGCCCAAAAATGCCAGAGCCAGCATTCATAACGGTAGAGAAGAGATCTTCACGACGCGTTAGTGAGGTTTGTGTGAATCGTGTATCCAGCGATTTTTCATTTCGAACTGGTGCGAGTAACGAAAGCAGCCACGCGTTGGAAGAGCGGAGTGCCGTGTTTTACAGTTAGGGAGGCCAATCGGAATTCCTATTTATTCTTTCGTGGTATCCTCTTGCGCTTCTCACGCATTGCGCGTTTTCGCGATGCACAAGGCATAAAATCTGCTTAATGCATCACATATAATGCTTGTTACATGGAAGAATAAGACTTTTTATGGCTGTTTTGGCCTAGCACTTTGTTCACTCAGTTTCAGTTGGTGATTTGGCGTAACCTGGTCATTGGTTTCAGCGAGTCGGTGTGGTCGCCGCGGGCCTAGCTGTGGCCGGAGGTGGATTGATCTATGCATTAGAGAACTCGGTTCACGCTAGTGAAGAAGCAGTACATCCGTTCAAGTTACCTTGGTCCCATCGGGGTGCGCTCGAGTCATTTGACATCGCCTCGTGAGTTATATTACGTTTTATTTACATTTCTTCTGTCAGAATTTAATCTGGATGCGCTGGGGTCCGTAGTGCTGTTTACGAATGTGGGGTCTTTACTGCGTCATGGCGTATGCCTTTTCGTAGTTGAGCGAAAACTAAATGTTCTGCCTTGCAATTCTCATCCTTTACCGAACCCGCCTTGAACCACTGGTACTCTAAGGGCGCTTTACCCCCTCGTAGTTCGCCGTCAAGCTTGATCTTTCTCCTTGTCAAATTTCCGCAACCATTCAAAAAAGCTTCTGCGAAAACGTTCCGTTTGTTCTATAAAATTGTTAAAACCTTCATTAGAAAATTTGCGAGGAAAATTGACCTAGGCTTGTATTCCAATTTTGCATTACGCAGATCTCATCGTCACATACTGTTCTGTAAACTGAAAATTTGCTTATGGTCTTTATTTTAAAGGGTGCGGCGGGGCTATGAAGTGTACAAGCAAGTTCTGATGCAGCATGGTCAATTCGCTGATAGCTCGTCACTACAGACACTTTGTTGACACTATTATGACCGAGGTAGGCGTGTTTGCTGATTTTGATTTGAATGCTTTTCAAGATTTAAGTGCCTTGTTGAGTTTTATTGCGTATTGGCGTATTCACAAGTCATGTCGGTCGCTAACTGGAAACGAAACTGAACCACGAGTAGCAGGCGACTTCAGTGGGCCTCTTCGCTGGCTATTGTTTTTTTTTTTTGCAAATTATCCCAATCCTGTTAACCCTGGCCAATATTGCCTCCTAACCAAGTTTGACCCATTTACCACAAAGCCAGCCACCGCTAGCTGACGCGAAGATGCTCACTTCGAACAAGGTCAGCGTGACGGGCATCTTTGAAGTGAAAACTTAGTGAGCAATTTAGCTTTCGTGAAATATATTTTTACCCATAACGGACGGCGTGCGCCACAAGGTGGCGCACGACTATTTCTTTTGTTTTTGGAATGTTTCTAGCAATCTTAATATACCCATATATACTCTCAGCAATGTGGAATAACATATCTTCCCAGGACCTGGACGGCTGGATTTTTGACAAACCTACAATAAATTTTACATACATTTTTGTCTTAATTTAATAAAAAAAAAAAAAAAAAAAAAAAAAAAAAAAAAAAAAAAAAAAAAAAAAAAAAAAAAAAAAAAAAAAAAAAAAAAAAAAAAAAAAAAAAAAAAAAAAAAAAAAAAAAAAAAAAAAAAAAAAAAAAAAAAAAAAAAAAAAAAAAAAAAAAAAAAAAAAAAAAAAAATTTTATTTGATGGTGGCTTACCCATGGTTCGCACGTCCCGAGACCCCTTCCCCTAAATATAGCCACATCCTTGCTCGGGGTTGTTGTTTCGCATTTTTCGATAATGTCACCTACAGCTTCCATTCATTCTTTGCACCCTAGTTTTAGAGCGGAAAGGCGGGTTACGAACTTGTCGTCAACGGAAATCTCTTTTTTTGGATGATGAGACACGGACACCTACTTTAGCCCCGTCTTAACCCTGCTGTTCGCATAAGCCTACATAAACCCTACCCTGGGTGGCGGCGTGCGCCACATGGTGGCGCACGCGAAAAATACACTGGCCGTCCGTTATGGGTTAATGAAAGCGATCATCATACTTACCTTAATTTGCGTCAGCCCTCGCAGTGGAGCTCTTCGTTTAAATTTTATTAGAAAAGGCAATTTTCATGTCCGAAATCTGGCTCCAAATAACTTAAGATACCTGAAAATGGATTTTGCTATGGAAGCTCTTCGTGGGAGTTTCGGATGACTTGATCACAAATATGTAGTTATTTTCGGCGAGGATACCAAATTAGCGGGTAAATTCACCGGCATGGCGCGGCAACTGTTCTCATCAAATTTGTTCAAAACAGAGGGGTTATTCAGTGTCCTAATCACAAATGTAACGTTAATATTTGGCGCTGATTTTGAACTTGATCCGTCATCAAAATGCTGAATAACTCCTGTATGCCAGTTTTCAATCAATTTTGTGAAAACAGTTTTTGCGCCATGTTGGTGCATTTTACCTGCAATTTGAACCAACGCCCAAAATGGAGGTCATATTCGTGTCAATAGCAACCAATTACTCACATTGAAGAAGTTTCCACGGCAATTGTTATTTTTTCAAATATTACTCCATTTCAAAAAAGGTCGTGAGGACAATTTGAGTTCCGGTGACTGACACCTTGCACGTCCTAAACCGCTCTGGTCTTAACGGGCGGTTTTCGTAGAACGGTCTCACTGGCGAATGGATTCAAATCTCACAAGGAATGGTCAGTTGGTCGGTCCGGCCATTTGTAATGAGGTGTAGTCCGATGCACGCGTCTTGCGACGCTGAGCTCAAATCCGTTTTCGTTTTTTGCCTCTGAACGAAGTTACGAGGGATTCTTCTCACTGTGGCGCCCTCTACATTCCCTGTCCCACTCGGCTCGCGTAAGAAGAGCGGCGGAGCCTATATTTCAGTGGGTGTGGTGGTCTACTGGGTAGCACTCTTGCTTCATAGGGGCGATGTCCCTATGAATCCTTGTTCTTAGCAAACCTTTGCATTTTTTCAAGGCTGCTCATACGAGCCCAGAAAGCGTTTATAATTGGTTATTCTGTTATGCGTTCTGTTCGTTCGTTCTGTTTTTACGCGAGCCAAGTGGGATGTAGAGGGCGCCACAGTGAGAAGAATCCCTCGTAACTTCGTTCAGAGAATCGTTCGGCAAAAACCGAAAACGGATTTGAGCTCAGCGTCGCAAGTGCATCGGACTACACCTAATTTTAAATGGCCGGATAGACCAAATTCCTTGTCAGAAGGCGTAATTTCTTGAGAAGATGAATTATCTATCTAGACGAATTCCAGGAAGAAGCTAAAGCCGAAGCTGCAGAAGCACTTATCAATGACGTCGATGATAAGGGGCGAGCTATTCAAAGGCCTGGCATTCTCACGGATGCGCTTCCTAATCCATATCCTAATGCAAAGGCTGCTGCTGCAGCGAATAACGGTAATTTTCATTCATAAACGATTTTTTCACTTTTTGTTGCTCGAACAAGAGCTCGAAAAGATTAGGGTATGGTTCAACTTGGAAATTGTAGAACACAGCAAGTTGGCTTGCTCTGAAGACAAACTTTCTCTTTATTTCAGGAGCTGCTCCGCCGGATTTGTCTCTAATGTCTCTAGCTAGACACGGAGGAGATGACTACATCTTCGCCCTGCTAACGGGATACTTCGATCCTCCGGCAGGTATCAAGGTGATTGTTTTGAATGGTCAGCTTTTGTAAGCTATTCATTAATAATTGAGTGTCACATAGATTTTTCGTTATCTTTTGATTTTTTTTTGTTTCAGGTCGACGATGGAAAAGCATATAATCCGTACTTCCCAGGTGGAGTCATATCTATGCCTCAGCAGCTCTACGATGAGGGAATTGAGTACAAGGTGATAAAATCCCCACTGTTGTATTTTTTTAGCAAAATTGAGTGTAATCTGTGTTTCAACACATCTTCCGAACTTTACAACTTGGTATCCACCATCAGTTGAAGTCGTGTGATCGGAATCCTTTCATATGCTGTCAGTTAACAGTTGATTTACGAAATTACTGAGCGATTGTTGGACTAAGGGTACCTTGAAGCCTTCTACATGGTTCACGGTTTACTTATACTTTCCTAAATGGTCGTACCACGAATGACGGAGAGCAAAGACAATTAGAGAACGGCGCCGTGGCTCGGCTCCAAATCCCAAGGAAGGAGGTGAGAGCCCTAGGACTAAGCCTTGAGGGGGGGGAACTCCGAGGTGGGTGAGAATTCACAGAGTGGCAAAAGTTTGAATGTGTGAAATCGCAGTGGTCATCAGACGCTGGCGAGAGGGCGCAGGCGAGAGCATCGGATTTAGGCGGCTTAAAGGACCGAGTTCAAGTAGTCCATCGACCCACATACATAGATAAACGTTAAACTGAAGTTCTAGTTAGTCTCGTTCGCAAAAATGCTCGATTTTAAAGGATGGAACGCCAGCAACTCAATCACAACAAGCCAAAGACGTGGCAACATTTATGCACTGGTGTGCGGAGCCATACCATGATACGCGGAAGAGATGGGGACTGAAGGTATGTTGATCAATCACCCATTTCTGCAACAGGTTATCAATCGAAAGAAAACTTCACGGTGGTTGTGGTTGTGGAATTGTCTAAAATCTATATAAACGCTCTTATGAACGCTGAAAACTGTTTTGTATTTTGCGGAGCTTTTTACCGATTTTTGCTCGAGTCTTTTTCAATGAAGAGAGCTTGGCAATCTGGAATTTCTAGTCTAATTTTTATGAGCAAGTTGTGTCATTTCTGTGGTTTCTTTCTGGCTAGAAGGTGGTGTTTTCAATGGCATTCAGTTATTTGCTTTGCACATGTTATGGCGAAGTGACTGCCAGGTTCAAACTGCCTAAGGGTCACTCTGCAGTGTCGTTGTTGATTTCGTTGTTAATGGTAAGCTGCTTCTAGTATTCTGTCGAAAAGGCAGAGAAGTAAAGCTTAATCGTGGGAGTCCGTCATTTGTATAAACAGCTTTCGAAAAGTACAAGTGTAAATTTACACGCGCAAAGTGTCACCGTCAACTTTTTCCGATGAGGGAAAAAGTTTTGCAAACATGTGGGTTTTCTATCATGCAGTAAGGTTTGCTGGATCATTCTGACTCTATAGCATGAATAGCTCTCTCGTTAGCTGGAAACTTCTGGAAACAGTAGGTGACATTTTCGCATGTGAATAATTCTTGCCCATACTTTCGCAATAAGGTTTAGCAAAATGGTAATTTGGTTGGTGATATAGTGATGATTTGTACCTCTGTTGGCGAGATCCCTAACTGCTGGGTGATAGGGCGGAATCCATAAATATTAATTGTTACTTTGTGTCTGGAATCGCACGGGTTGGACCACACCACCACGAATTGTGAGGGTTTTCGATAGTCTTAAGTGAGAGGTTTAGTTCATTCTAGATTTTTTTATAGATTTTTTTTGCTTTATTTCAGTGCGTTTGGTGCGTTCTAGATTTTTTATTTTATTTAAATGTGTTCGGAAGTTTGGGTGATGGTGAGAACAGAGTAAGGACTGTTTTGGTGTAGCACTAATAGCACTACTTTATTAATTGTTATTTCCCTTCTCGGGGGTAGTACACTATTCCTCTTCGCCTTATTTCTTCCTGCCGTTCCTATTTCTGCGGGGAAAATGAGAGTTGTTTGCAGAACTATGGTTTTCTGCTGAATTTTTGTCTTGAGAAAAGTGAACTGTAGTGGCTGATGGTTCAAGAGTCAATGAAGTGTAAGGCTGGTGTCAGAGTCCGCGATCCGCTCTTCGCGATT